TTGTTGTTGAAAAACCCGGCCTGGGGGGGGGGGGGGGGGGGTACAGGTAATCCTCCCATACAAAGCCTGGACCACGTTGGCTAGTTGGGGAGGCCCGGCAGGGGATGTCTGGAAGGCTGCTGTGCAGTGCTGCCGGTAGGAGGTACAAGCAGTCCTCCCCTACTGGTCCAGGGCCCTATCAGTTAACAGGGGGACCTGGCAGGGACTAGCTAGAGGGCTGCTTTGCACAGCCACCTGCAGGGGTTGCTTGGAAGACTGCTTACCCCAGCAAATAAAACTGTCCCTCAAAGTTACATCAGTGTGCACGATGTACATACCTCAGTCTGCACTATGTCCCAGGCATTCGTTAGTCCTAGATTATCTTTTGTTTGATACAGTGCTAGTCCTTTCTTTAGGTCTTCTTGCGCATAACTGTGAAACTGTTGAGGGAAAAATAATGTTTTTAATGTCATCAAAATTATGACAGGTGTGTGGCCCAATCTGAGAGACTATAGAAAATATCTGGATAGTTTAAGTGTAAGCAGTCACAAAAATATAACATTGCATACACATGCAGTCACCACATGACCATATTTTCTCTTTTTCATTTTTAGATACATCAGTGAACAAAGACATATTGTTAGATTCCTTTTGCCCTGCACATGGGTAGATAAGGTTTACCACAGCAGATGGGTCTAGATTTGCAGTTCTTGGCCAGTCCATTAAACCACAATTACAATTCCAGTTCTGCTAAAAAGAGTCAAAGTGGGTCAGCTTGGTAATATCATGGGCATAAAGTATGCTACTGGTGCAGCTAATGCCCTGTATCAAGAAGAACCATTTATGATTGGACTTCATACAAGAATTTTAATATTGAGTTCTAACCTTTCATGATCAGAGGTAATTGAAACCTATATGAAGACCAAATTTCAGCAATGTCAATATGCATTGACGTGACTCATTTTCCTACATAATCACTGCTACTTTAACTTTTAAGCCCAATTGAATTTTCGGTTTAACCTACTTAGCATTACATTTACACCCTGGAAAAAAACATGCAAACAAGTTGCTTATAATATAGGAATTTAAAATGTGTTGCATGTTAAAATGCATATTAAAAGTCTAAACATTTCTGAAAACTGGGATAACCATTTTTAGATAGAATACCGAGCTAATTTCCACCTTTGCAGAGGTATTAAAAAAAAACATATGCCAGTAATATACACCAAGTGTACATGAAGCAGGCATATGCAGTTGCTGTATATGAACACATAAACTTACCTTTATTTTGTTAGCTTTCCTCTTCATATGCTGATGGTAATGGCCGCCTCTGAGCGATGTGTGTATATTACAAGTGAGCTTTCCACCGCCCCCCCCCCCTCACCCATTATTCATTAGTATTCATAGTGGCAACTCCCGCTCCCCCCACTCCCTAGGCAGTGTATTGTGTGCAAGACCAGAGCTGGGGATTAGTGATCGCGTTACAATCAATAACAGGGGGTAGGAGAGCTGTTTACAGCCTGCTTTACAATCCAACCCAGACTGAGTTTCCTGCAGAGAAAATCTTGCATTTCTAGGAATCAGGCCTAAGAAAAACTTGATAAAAAAAATGAAGGAAGCCTGCAATGTGAGTCATGAAAATGTGCACATGTATACATCATCACTGCACCTTTACATTATCACAATAATTGCTAATCACTTACAAAGGTGGAAATGGACTTTAAGGTTAATGCTAAGGAGGCTAAATACATTCCAGGCATATGATAAAATCAGGGGACAAATATAAATCTTGCATAAGCAAACCTGCACTATAATGTTAATGATTTACCTTTTTTCCAACCACAATCCAGATTAACGTTCCTCAGCATGGTGCCCCCAAAGAGAACGTTTATCTAGGTTATATTGTAGAAAAAAAGCACAGATGTCACTGTGTCTTTCTCTGTGCTAGGCACAGCAACATTTAAAGATTGTAGATTTGTTTGTAAATAAACCCAGGTAAATACCATGATTGACTGTTATTGTAATCACATGATTAGGAACCACACTGACTGGTTCCCAATGATCAGTGTAGACCAATGGCTGTCAGTGATGGTCTTGGAACTAGGAGTGTGCACAGCTGTGCTTTCCTTCTTCCAATGTAATCTAGATGATTGTTCTCCTGAAGGCACCATGCAGAGGAACGTTAATCTAGAGATTGTGGTTGGCAATAGGTTAAGACATTAATATTATTGTGTAGGTTTGCTAATGCGAGATTTATATTTGTTCCCTGATTTTACCATAGATTTTTTGCATCTGAATCTACAGCGTAAAACAATTGGAGGGATGGGTGGCTCTAGATCCCCTCAATGGTTTTATTTTCCGTCAGAATTCCCTCTGACCGGCACCACTTCTTGCTAGGCAGCTTGGCTTCCTGACCATTCAGGAAGCCAGACGGCACGTCATGACCCACCTCCCGACTAGTAAGCCGGCTTCACTTCTTGCTAGGCAGCCTGGCTTCCTGCCCAATCAGGAAGCCGGGCAACATGTCATAACACATCACGCAGCTTCCTGATTGGTCAGGAAGCCAGGTTGCCTCGCAATGTTGCGAGGAAACGTGAAGCTGGTGTCGTTTCCTGGCTTCCCAGGCAATCAGGAAGCTTCCTGATAATCTTGGCCCATGGTACCTTGGGATGCTGGTATATCGGTATTCGGTATTGGCGAGCACAGAAATAGAAATATTGGTACCCGTACTCAATACCCAAAAAATGGAATTGGTGCATCCCTAAGTACAATTTAATTTTTTTAATAATAATAATAAGGTGGGGTGGGCACAAACACTCCACGGCTCCCACTGATGCGCATTCATCTTAACTGAATGCCTACTATTCCAGGCAAATAGCTTATACATAGCTAATAGCAAATATTTGATATTTATATATGGCAATAGCAACAAAATGGTTTATAGATTATTGAGACCTAAACAATAGAAACTAAAGAAATATGTGTTGAAACGGAGTCTTTATTTAACACAGCAATAAAAATAATGATGAGAGGCAAAATATTGTAAGATAAAACCGGAACCTGAGCACTTACATTGTCATTGTAGGCTAAAAACAGGACCAGGCTGATTATTTCAAGAAGAAAGATGATCAACAGCACTACAAAGAACTGCAAAGAGAGAGAGAGACTATGGCTGTCGTTAGACGTTCACACGTGACAACATTATTAAAGATCTTTTCATCTAAGCTGCAGGCAGTTCCCCCCCACTGCTTTCCAACTGCTGCTACACTATGACATCCTGAAATAGAATTCAGTATGTCATTACTGACAATGTCAATAAATAGAAGCTGCCTGCCATGCTGCCATGTAATGAATTCTTTGTATTCAACCTCAGATTCTGCAGCTGATGTATAATTGAACTCTCTGCAGAGTAAACGAGAGCTTAGGGTTGGCAAATGCTGCCTTAAAGACGCATGGTCAATCTGCCCATTCAGGGCAAACTTACAGGGCCTCCTGATGGCCTACCCACCAGCAAGGTATACCCACCAATCCAGTTCACTTCACCCCCCTTCCTGCTCCATTTGAGCACTAGCTCAAGGATGTCAGGTGGCACGTCATGACCCGCCTCCTGGCTTCCTGATTGGCTACAAAGCCAGCTTCACTTGTTGCCAGGCCACCTGGCTTCCTAAAACAATCAGGAAGCCAGGCGGCACGTCATGACCCGCCACCCGGCTTCCTGATGGGTCAATAAGCCAGGCTGCCTCACAGTGTTGCAGGGGAACGTGAAGCTGGTGTTCTTTTGATAGAACACCGACTTCCTGATAATCCAGGTCCATGGAACCTTGGGATGCCAGTATCAATATCGGCGAGTACCGGAAGAAAAAATATTGATACTCGTACTCGATACCGAATAACTGGTATCGGTGCATCCCTAATTATTATTATACATGATTTATATAGCGCCAACAGTGCATTTTTTTGGATATACACCAATGAGCCATTACATTATAACAAGGCATGAACTCCACTAGACCACTGAAGGTATGCTGGGTTTCTGCCACCAAGCCATCAATAGCAGATCCTTTAAGTCCTGTAAGTTGCAAGGTGGGGCCTCCATGAATCGGACTTGTTTTTCCAACACATCCCACAGATGCTCCATTGAATTGAGATCTGGAGAATTTGAAGGCCAACTCAACACCTCAAACTCATTGTGTTCCTCAAACCATTCTTGAACCATTTTCCAGAGTGGCAGGGTGCATTATCCTGCTGAAAGAGGCCACTGCCATAAGGGAATACCACTTTCATGAAGGGGTGTACTTAGTCAGCAACAATGCTTTGGTAGGTGGTATGTGTTAAAGTAACATCCACATGCATGGCAGGACCCCTGCAGAACATTGTCCAAAGCATCCCACTGCCTCCGTCGGCTTGTCCACCTGCCAGTGATCATAATGCTATGGCTGATCGGTGTATTACTGCAATTACCGGCAAGGATGAAAAATAAGTATTGCTGAATACATTGGTAGAATTCCAATCCTAAAAGAGTTTTTACACCAGATCTAGTATTGATTAATTTGGTTATAGTTACTTTTGAGTCCATTCAAGTCCCCATTCCATTCTTCTATGCCTTGATGAAGGGGACATTTTGTTGCCCCCAAAACACATTAGCTGTTTTTTGTGACCATTTCTATAATTTTATATTATGAACAATGAAAGACACTGTGGGCTCTTTTTATGTTGTGGTTTGGTTCCCATTATTATATCTACACTTTGAAGAAATCATTCAGTACTTTTTTTGAACATAATTGTTTATCTGATTAATACCTCAGGCTGTAAAGTATTCCACAGCCTAACTACCCTGGCTGTAAAGTTATAGTAAAATCTCCTTTAATTAATTTATATTGGCTATGGCAACCAATTACTAGTCATCTTTAATTGCTCTAGTTGGTTTAAAGCAGAGAAGAATGGAAAGCAACTCTACCGTTTTTTAGTATAAATGAAACAATAAACAGCTTTGTGCAAATAGTTTCAAAGTATTTGAATGTTTTGAAAACCTTTTTGATTCACAATTTTATTGATATACATATGCAGAGCTAGTCATTTGCTTCACTTGCAGATAATCCAATCGCTTCTTTATCATTTCATAAAATAGTCACACAGGAGAGGAGTAGAGATGTGACATGTTTCATGTACTCAGACGATTAGTCATAGAATGTACTGTATCTTACATTTTTGCACCACAAGCCACCAAAAACTCCACCTCTGCTGGGGGAACCATATAAGAGGGTTCCATTTGTCTCCCGTGTGACTATTTAATGAACTAATAAAGAAGCAATTGGAATACGCTGGTCTGTGGACATCCAATACATAATGTTAAAGGTCTCCTAAGCTTGCAATTTCCTATAACTTTAAGTGGAACTCAACTTAATAAGTGAAGATTTGGTGTTCAAGAGGAAAAATAGTAATGTTATTTATGTCCAAGCAGTACCCTATATTTACCTTTTGCCTGGAATTTTCCTTAATAATAGCAGTGCACTTTGTGTTATGTGAGGGTGCCTAGGCACTCCTGTGTCCCCAGATTTATATCTGCAGTGTGAGTACAAGGCATAGTAGGTCAGAAATGTGGAAAAGATCAGCTGTAGGGAGACAAGAGGCAATGCTAGTGACTATTACTATGCCCCTTGTCAGCCAATAAATAATCACTTTAACTCCATACTTTTTGCATCAAACAATAGCTAACAAGGTAGAGGACTCCAGGACTACTAGGTTTAGTTATTAAAAAGTGATAAATACACATTAACTTGCCACGACATTTGCCAGGTGCACAATTGTGACCTGAAGGGCAAATGAATAAATCAGATGGAACTGTGGCAAATGTGCAGTGAGTGGTTTCTTTCGCAAAAGTGCACTTCAGGTCTCCATAAGAAATCTTTGGGTTTGACTTGTTCACAGTACCAGAAGTAAACGTGAAGATTAGGGATGTTCAGATAGCAGTTCAGATACTTGGCCTTTTCACGAGAACTACAAGGGCTGCAGCGGTTTCAGCTGGGATCTAGCTTTGGCGCTCCACCACTGTCCTGAAATCATTAGTCTATATTGTTTTAGAAAAACTGTCCAATGACCCTAAACAAAAATGTATCAGTACTTGTGTCTGTGAGTACTTGGACAAGTATCAGTACTTGTACTTGAAAGAATGGTATCAGTGCATCCCTTATACTGTATATATGTATAATAAAAATAATTTCTTCATTAAAACAGGGATGCACAAACCCCAGTAGCCCCTGTAGCCAATGCTCCTTAAAAATGACAGCTGCCTCCTAACGTTTGAGTTTTTCTCTAGTCTAGTCTTGGAGCTGGAAAAGTATCTGTACATATACTTGTACCAAGTATGGTACATGGTATCTGAACATCCCTAATGAGGATGTGATAGTTTCCCTTTTACTGAGCTCAAAAATGTGTTTTCTCTTATTTCCACACGATTAAGAAAATCAGTTATGTCATTATCCCTCCCTGGAATGCGTGTGGTAGAACCCATGTTAATTTCTATGTTGTGATCCCAAATTGAAATGTGCATATGTAGGAGTGTTAAGTGCAATGCAGAAGAATCAAATGGTCAGAACAACAAACAAAAAAAAGCAAAGCTTGTACTACTGTGTCTTAAATCTGCTCAATGTTTGATCATGTCTATTGCAGAATTAAAGCCCAGTTCAGCAAAAGTGTTCTGGTTAGTTTTGCATAGGTGTGGATGGATTAGAACCGATCATGTTTTTATTGCTGTCTCTTTTTCTACTGGGAAAATTTTCCTTCAACTTTCTGTACTATTGACATCCTGTCACATATGGTGTTAGCAAGACAAAAAATTGGAAGGGAATATCCCCAATAGGAACACAAATGGCAACAAAAATCTTTCAGAAGCTGTAACTTTTCATTGATCTATTGAAAGCTTAAAACATGCTTTGACTAGGGCTGGAATTAACTACCCAGAGATATCTGATGCTAGTAAGATCTGTATATAAAAAGTAAAGCTTTGTTACAAAAAATGTTTTGATAAAAAGGCTTACTTAGATAACCTGAGCCTGTATTTTTATGTCTGTGGAGGAGGTAGGGAAAAGGAGGACATCCCTAACGCCAGACGATCTTGAGTGAACAAATAAACGATTAGCTGGCAAAATCCAACCCAGCTAATCAATTCTTCCCCTAAGAAGAACTATCCAGGCAGTGTCTGGAGAAGTCACAAAGTTTTCATAAATACCAATCATTTCTTTTCCCACTGGGCACTTTTAGACTGGCCAACAGCCAATTTCCTCTTGTATATACTCCCGTAACAGACACTGAAGTATGGCTTTGAGAAATGACAAGAAGGTCATTTTAATCTATCCATTTAGTTTGATTTCCAGCCAATCAGACTTTGGGGAGTTAATTGCAAGAACATATAACATCTGCTGGAGTCTTACCGTGAGCAGGAGGCAGCGGTGTTCGGTCACTGCGCCCAAGCAGCCAATGAACCCAACCACCATTATCACCGACCCTGTCACCATGAAGAGGCTGGCAGCAGACAACGAGGGGAAAGAAATGGAGAGGGTGGCAAACTTCCCCTGAGTAACCGCCAGCCAAACCCCAACTCCAAGAATACCGCATCCTCCAAGCTGGAAAAGAAAACACAGAATAAGGTGTCAATGTTCTAATATAGACACAAATATGTTGAATCCTAGATTCATTTATTTCCCGACAACTCTATTAACACTTTGTTTTTGCTGGCTAGTTACACCAGTGATTCTTTTTTTATACCTCCTGTCTACATGCACAGCACTCTATTTTATTTTAACCAAAAATGGTTATAAGAACATATATGAGAGTTCAGATATCTAAGGGAGTATGGTGGTCTGCTTCACCTACTTACTTCCTGGGTACTCCAATCATGAGCAATCCATGCAATTTCAATTTCTACTCACACTAGAGTTCTTGATGTACTCACAACCTCTAGAGCAATCTCAACAATAAAAAATAAATTAAAGGGAAACGTTTGAGGTTAAAGAGATAGCATTTATGGGTTCAGATTAGTTTACTTTTGGATAGATCATAGAAAGGTTAGGAACTCTGCTGTGTTGTCATTCAACTGTCCCCATTGGGTAGATATCTCTTTCTTGGGACACAACAGGAAGTGAGTGTAGATCTCTTCAAAGTGAGGGAAAATCTAAACTCTGACAGTTCAACAGAACCGGTGTTCCCATTGAATCACATCTTATTCCAAAGTTCCTAGCAGTCATTGGAATAGTAGATTTCCTGTCACTTTATGACCAAGGCATAATAGTCACTTCAAATGGGTGAGTCTCCCTTAGGAAGGCAAAAAAAAGGTTTCCGGCATGGCCTTGTCTCTGAACCACATGGACCACTCTCCATTTTCCACTATATCCAGGGTACATGATGGATGGCAGATGACCTCTTTAAACCCATCTTACTTTGTCTATGAGATATATTTATTTTGGTATCGGGATAGCATTATCCTTCTTTCGCAATGGCATCATATAGGGTGAATATTCGATGTAACTGCAGTTAAGGAGGTCTGATGGTGAGACTGTATTGTTCACCTTTTAGAAATCCTGGAGAGTGCTTCTATGCTTACACAATCTTTTGGTGGAGAGCAGGACTGTATTACTTGTTTCATTTTTATTGCGGACAGCTTTCCTGCCTATTTCAACATTTATCGCTTTGTGAACAGTAGCCCTTATCAGGCCATGTTGTTTTTATTGTGCTATCACAATGACATATATCTGTCTGTTGGGTATACTTTGGGTGCTTTTGACATATGAATGTGTGAGACACTGCTATTACCTTACAAGAAGGTAATTATCTTTTTGGAGGAACTTGAGCTATTTCCACTTTTTGAAGTGTCCAGAGTGCCTATTTGAGGCATAACATCCAGAGTGCAGTTCTAATACCTCCTAGAAGCCATGATCAGCTGAGGAGAGGAATCCCTCTTGAATAGCAAATATCTCCCACAAATGCATCAAGTTCTCTCCATTACATAATGAGATGTTTTTTAGTTCACAGAAAATAGCTAGGGAAGCTGATAACATTGTCTGGGATATTGTATCTGTTCAGTGCACAGGAAGGTACAAGGACACTGGAATTCTTGCAGAACCAACAGGTATTATTCTGTATTTGCAGTAACTGTATGTCCTGTTACACATGCATGGTGATATGCCTTGAAATATGATTTGCCTTATCTGTCTATGGAATTTGTCTCCACTACTCTCAAGTTTGTACTTCAAGTTTTCCTCTGTGTAGATGTCTCCACCCTTCTTCATTATGTTTTAGTCTGCATCTCAGCCACATTTCCTTTGCTAAGTGGATCACTTTATGATCTTTTGACCTATCCAATGTTCGCTCTTTCAACGCTTAGAGTGGGGAGGCAGAGCACTGTACTTAGCCTGAAAAATTGAAATCTAATGCAGATATTACGTCTAAGGACTAGTAAGCTGCAGTATATTACATTTGTGTTCTTGAGTTTAGAAGTCCTTAAAGTGACATTAAAACCCGCAGATTTTTTATCATAAACCAATACTGTAATGTGTGCCTTACTTTAATCCATGGTTGTTTCCCTTCTCTTTGCTGCTCTTCCTTTTAAATCTGTATCTCTTCTCATGCTGGGCAGATCTTCTGTTTTGCAGCAGACTGCCTTGTCTCTGAAATGGATACATGGTGTCTGTGTGAAGGTTTGCAACCTGAGCCAGCACTACAGGAAGAGGCACTCAGCTGTAAAGGGAAGTTCTCCCCCAGCATGAGAAGAGATAAGGATTTAAAAGGAAGAGCAGCAAAGAGAAGGGAAACAACCATGGATTACAGTAAGGCACACATTACAGTATTGGTTTATGTTAAATAATCTGAGGGTTTTAATGTCATAGTGAGCCATGTTGTGCTCTGTATCCACTCCCACCTTTGCAGTGTAGAGGCAAATATATCGATTCCAATCAGTCCTTAGATTAATTTTTTTTTTTTAAGGCCTTTTTTCCACTATATTTTGACCTGTAAGTCCAGCAGTAATACACATTGGAGGAATCGATCAACACTGGAGCAGACAGAATCTGGAGCAGTTGCCCGCGGCAACGAATCAGCTTCTAACTTTCATTTACAAAGCTAAACTGAACAAACTGAAGAGAGAAGCTGATTGGTTACTATTACCAACTGCTCCAGATCCTGTCTGCTCCAATTTTGATAAATTCCCCTCATTGTGTCCTAGGGTGACAACACTCACTGTACTGTATCTATGCAACACTGTTAGGCTTCTTCTCTGATTTGGAATACAGAACACCTCCCCCTTCTCATAACATGGAGGGTGTTCCATAGTCCACAAAAGTGAGCTGCGTGGGGCTGATAACACCGCTAGTGATTTCAGTGCAGCAGAGGAAGAGAGCACAGAAAGTTATAAACTCACTGGATTTATGGCAGGTTCAACAGATACGTTTCTGAACTGATAGCCTTTTTAAAGAGATAAAATAAAGGGAAATGTTGTGGGGATATGTAGTGACGTTACATACATACATTTTAACCAATAAATGCTATCACATTCAACCTTATTCTTTCATCAATGGATAAAACTAATTAACTATATTGAAAATCCAACACTGAAAGTTGGACCATTTATAACGGCTGTGGAGTGTTTGCAGCAATGGGAATGCAATCAATAAAATCTAACCACCATAGTCTCCGAGTCTATAGAAACAATACTGCCATTTTAAAATTCCAGCATCTAACCAAACATTGAGATAATTAGTCTGGGGTGACTCTTTAATACCCCAAAGACCAACAGCAATCATAAAAATGATATTCAGCGAAATGTATGCAGTGAGCTGGAAGGTATTGCCTTGAATTTCATGCTTCAGTGAATGCACAGTAAACTTAATAAACACCTCTGCAGCTTCTAGCAGAATGAACCGTAATTCTAATCAGACTTATAGCACCATTTCCAATATTTTATAATGACTACACTGTGATTATTTCAAGGGAGAAAGTCATTACTAAGAGTGTTTTCCGCAATCCTTCTTTCCTCGCTCGGAAACTAAGAGAAGCAAATTTTATCTTGGGATTGCATACTTAAAATCATTTTTTTTTTCCATCTAAAAAGCCCGAGCTTCCATTTCTATGTAATATAAACAATTTTAATCATAGATCCATTCCTTTACATTTACTGAGAAGGTTGTGCAGAAAATTAAAGATCTTCTGCATAATAACAAGCAATTTATGGTGGTAAAATGTTAAGGAAATCAAATCACTTTAAACAAAATGTTCTTTGCCAATTCAGAGCAAAGCAACAGATTTCCTTTAATTCCTGTTTCACCAGCAGCATATACTTACTATTCTATCATATTCTCCTCCGCTCCATTCAGCGCCAAAATTAAATACCCGGTACTTTCTTACATGGAGGTGTGTGCAAATGATTCCATGTGATGATCCTGGACCAATCAGCACTGTCACAAGGGGACACCATATGTAAGCTCCCCGTGTAAGCTATAGCAACTCCCTCCTCATTGGCCTACCACTACACAGGCTATCCCCCTTCAATCTAGATTGTAAGCTCTCACGAGCAGGGCCCTCCCAACCCTATTGTTATGAAACTGTATTGTACTGTAAATTGTATTGTAACTGTACTGTCTCCACTATTTTGTAAAGCGCTGAGCAAATTGTTGGCGCTATATAAATCCTGTATAATAATAATCTACCATAAATGGTGCTGCTAGACTCATCCACCTAACCAACCACTCAGTGTCTGCAACCCCCCTCCGCCAATCCCTGCACTGGCTTCCAATAGCCCAAAAGGATAACATTCAAAATATTAACAACCACTTATAAAGAAATTCACAACTCTGCCACCCGGCTACATCTCAAAACTTGTCGCAAAGTATCACCCTAACCATCCCCTCTGCTCTTCCAAAGACCTCCTGCTTTCCAGCTCCCTTGTCAACTGCTTCCCTGCTCGTCTCCAGGACTTCTCTAGAGTCTCCCCATCCTCTGGAATTCTTTACCCCAACCTGTCTGTCTATCTCCCAATCTGACTGCCTTTAGGCGATCCCTTAAGACTCATCTCTTCAGGGAAGCCTATCCCACCTCAACCTAACCACTCAATCATCACGCTCTCAAACAATTCATCCCCATACAGCCACCTCCACATGGATCACTGGCCCCTCCGTTTTAGATTGTAAGCCCTCAGGGGCAGGGCACTCCTTACCATCCTGTCTTGAATTGTATTGTGATTGTGATTGTAATGTCTTCCTTATATTGTAAATCGCTGCACAAACTGTTGGCGCTATAAATCCTGTATAATAATAATAATAATAGCTGTCCATGCTCTGGTAGATTTTCCTACGAACTTTGATATGAACAATTTCGTCAGAGCATTCAATGCCATCAGAGACTTGATGAAGGTTGTTTCAAATTTCCTTTGATTTTCACATTCAGTCAAGGAAGTGAATGGAGTTTCCCGAAGTAAAACCACATTCACTGTTAGAATTACGTTTGTTCAAGGAAATTTCCTTTCCTGCTCCTTCGATTTTTTTTATGCCACGATGGTCAAAAGCAATCGCCATTTTCACCTCATTAACTATAAGCAAATCATAAGAATGTTCCGAAAACAAATATTTTTTAAACGAAATCCTACCGGTGTTTGGCCAGCTTATGGCTCCGGTGACACGTAGCTCACACGGGACTTTTCTTACCTCCCTGCCACTGAACAGAGCAGAAGGGGAGTGAGGGAAGGAAAGTATGTGTCCCGGAAGGAAGGCTGACTTTTATCATCCAATCATGCGAAAGCAAAAATACAGTTTTTTTTTACATTTTCCTTGCACATGATTGCAAAGAGAACTTTCACCGCATTCACTAAGCTAGAGAAAAAAATTCCTTTGCAAAGTAAACAGCGTGTTTGCTTTCAGTGAATCAATGCCATTATTGTTGAGATAGAATATTAGTGGTTTTCAATGAGGAGACTGAAATCCACTTTGTGTAAAGGAGCAATACAAGCATTCTGTAGTACTGTGAAGCAGGACAAAGAACATGGGTATTTAATGGGCAAATATGGCTGTCTCCCTGCACTTAAAAAAGAACTCCGGGCAGAAATAATCTTAACTCTTGCAGTGTGGCTACCCCTGCACTGCAAGGGTGAAATGCTCATTTTTGTCTAGGGATGAAAATAACACCTGAACTTTGAAGCCAGCTGGATATTAGATCAGTCCCTGCAGCCTCGCTTCCCCTCCGCTCTGGAGGCCTAAGGTACTGTGAGTCATCACGTCCTATACAGTGTATTGGACGTGAGGATGCCGAGCGACATTCCATCACTGGAGCAGACAAGGAAAGAGGCTGCAAGAACTGGTCTAGCAGCCACCGGCTCCAAGGACTAGGTGAGTATATCTTTGTTATTTTCTAGACCAAAATGAGCACTTTTCCCTTGCAGTACGGGGGTAGCCCACTGCAAAGGTTAAGATTATTTCTGCCCAGAATTATTCTTTTAATAATTACAAACCATACATAGAAACAAGGTTTTTAAATCAATAACACTTATGGATACAGTTACCCTACATCATGCTGATTCATTTAACATGTACAGACAATATATTAAAAATACAATACATTCCATTTCAGTTGTCCAACTTACCCCTGCACTTAACCCTTGCAGTATCGGGGTAGCCCACTGCAAAGGTTAAGATTATATCTGCCTGGAACTATTCTTTTTATAATTACAAACCATACATAGAAACAAGGTCTTTAAATCAATAATACTTATGGGTACATTTGCTCTACATCATGCTGATTCATTTAACTTGTACAGACAGTAAAATAAAAATACAATACATTCCCTTTAAGTTGTCCAAAGCCAGAAGATGACAGTCACCTGATTAGGTCTGCATAGGGTGACAGTCTCGTGCCTTTGACCTATGTATGATTGCTATTAAAGCCTCTCTAGGAAATGACTTGTCAAGCAGGTCAGGAAACCTGTTGCAATTTCCATTGCTCCCCTTGTGATAAGTAGCGCTGGCAGCACTGCTCCCCACTGCTGACTTGGCGCACCAGGGTCAACCTAATGTATTACTTTTTGGGGAACTGATGCTTGAAAACATGACATAATTCAATGCATTAAATGTAATTCAGGAACTCTGTTCATTTGAATTCAGTAATGATCTCTGCAAGACTTCTAGTTATAATAACCAAATTTAGAGATACTTTCCTGGAAACTTTGCAGCAGTGGCTGGCTCAGTAAAAAGAGAAGATATCAGATGTGGTTTGAACAGGAATCTCTTTAGAATCTTCGCAGAATCTTACTAATAATCTAACAATTAGGGATGTCCAGATACCAGTTCAGATACCAGTGCCGATACTTGGCATTTTTATGAGAACTACCAGGGTTGCAGGGGTTGCAGCTGGGACCCGGCTCTGGCGCTCCACCACTGTCCTGAAATCATTAGTCTGTATTGCTTTAGAAAAGCTGCCACATGACAATAAACAAAAATGTATCAGTACTCGTATCTGTGAGGACTTGGACAAGTATCAGTACTTGTACTTGGAAAAATGGTATTGGTGCATCCCTTATATATATTTATAAAAACAAATGAATGCATTAAAATGGGGATGTACACATACCCCTTAATGTCCCTAAAATTGACAGCTGCCTGCCAACTTTTGAATTTTTCTCTATTCTAGTCCTGGAGCTGGAAAAGTATCTGTACGTGTACTTGTACTGAGTATGGTATTTGGTATCTGAACATCCCTAGTAACAATAAAACGTTAAAGCTGTGTACCTCAAATACCGCTGTAAGGTTCTGAGCATATAGGCTTCAGTCTGTATAAGAGCAGAGTGTATACCAAGTTATTACAAAGCATCTGCAAAGCTTTCAACTAGCTTCAAACACTTTCTAGGAGTGGGGTGTTAAAGCTAAACTCCAGACAGATATAAAAGACACTCTGTATTGATAATAAACTATTAAATTATTTTTTTTAAATGCAACCTAAATGTGACCTAGCATTAGCCTGTACACAAGAGCTCAGATTGGGAGAGGGAGAATCAGTAAGGAGCCAATCAGTTGTGCTCCAGTGCAGCTCATCACTGAGGGGCGCTGTAAAGCTTTCTTGCACAGGGCGCCTAAAGACCTAAGGCCGGCCCTGCATGTACTAACAAGGAACATGCTGATAGGAGCAGACAGGAAAGTAACAGAGAGATGAGCTCATCAGTCTGCTGCCTTTGTCACTGTCCAGGGGGAGGGACAAGACCTGTAAGTGTTTCTTTACTGCAGCAGAGCAAAACCAGGTCTTCTACCCTGCCAGACAGGATTGTGCCTTTATAAATCTCTGGACTGGATAGAGCTACAAATCCTTTGGCTAAGAAAAGAGCTCCCATATACTGTATGTATTTCATGTGTATTTAGCGGTTTGCCTGGAGTTCAGCTTTAAAAAAATGATCATACTGCGAGTGCTGACTGCCATGGAGAGCCTGCTGAAGCCTACTAATAGCTTGTATACAGACACAGCCAGCACTGTTGTTAAGATCTGATCACATTCCTAAACTGGAGCCGATCTTAGGGTAGCGGGAGGGCGCTAGTTTGTGTCCTCCCGTTACCCTAAGGAGAACTATGGGGAAAAACACTGACCCCATAGTTCTCCTTTAACAAAAGCATTGCCCAGCAATTATAAAAATAAAAAATGCAGCCTCTTGCTGCAATTCTCACTTCTCCTGCAGCCAGCACTGTCCCTCCAGACTGCTCTCTCCAGCATCATTCAGTAGGCGTCCTGTGAGTGCAAGGCATCATGGACCCTGTCCCCTGGAGGGGGATGTCCCCACAGTACCCTCCACTCACTGTACAATGACTCGGAGAACGGCCCTGACGTATTCACAACAGTGACACACTGCATCACTGAGGAATGCCCGGAACCCGGGAAAAAAATCATCCTGATTGCCACATGACCAGCATGAAGACTTCTGAAAAAAGACATGTATTAAAAAAAAATTTTAAAACATTTAAAAAAAGGACTGGGATCAGATGGGGGAGCTGGAAATGGGTTTTAAACTGCTTGAAGCTCATTGAAAGCTTTGAAAGCTTTACAAATGCTTTGCAACTCCTTTCTATACATGCTGCTCTTATGCTGGCTTTAGAACCTGTGTGTATGTGCAAGACCATACAGTTTTATTGGAAGGACAGTTTAGAGTTCCAAATGACATTATGCAGAAGAGCTGAAGGCCGCTATTGAAGCATCCTGGTCTCCCATAACACCTCAGCAGTGCCACAGGCTGATAGCTTCCATGCCACGCCGCATTGAGGCAGTAATTGCTGCAAAAGGGGCCCAAACCAAGTACTGAGTACATATGCATGCTTATACTTTTCAGAGGTCCGATATTGTTCTATGTACAATCCTTCTTTTATTGATTGCATGTAATATTCTAATTTTCTGAGATTGTGGTCTTGGGGTTTTCATGAGCTGTAAGCCATAATCATCACAATTATGACAAATCACGGCTTGAACTATCTTGCTTTGCATGTAATGACTCTATCTCATATATTAGTTTCACCTTTTAAGTTGCATTAGTGAAATAAATGAACTTTTGCACGATATTCTAATTATTCGAGTTTCACCTGTACATTACATACAGTTCTTACATTGTTAGTGAGATATAGAGAAGATTCTACAGCTACTCCTGTTCAAGAAAACTATTACCTTCTATTCCCACTGCCAATTCTATTCTGCATTATGTAAGAGCCAAGGGTTTGTTTTCTTTTAAATTTATTCTATGACTTTTTATTACATTTTTCTCATGTAACTATGCACACTGATCTCTAAGGTAAATCCCTAATTTGGGTGTACTCTTTCTAATTAAACTTTTTGAAGCAAAATCTGAGCCAATCCAAATGTGTAAAAGTCAAAGATTTATAAAAATGACACCTTACAATGAAAACGCAACATTTTTATTAAAGGATTTGTGTACTCACCCAGAAGATGAGGTTAAAGATGAACATGGTGATTTTGATGCAGAGTAGGCAGCCTCGTGTCATACTCATCTTCTTGAGTTCTAGAAGTAAGAGAAAAGAGAGATCCAGATACAGGACTATAACTCTGTTTTCCTTTTTGGCTTCCCCCGGTTGTTGCTCTTCAGAATTATGTTGCACCCCGCTGAATGAACAGCTGTCTGCTACCCCCCAATGTCCTCGGTATACTCCTTTCCATCGTGCCCTGCGCCCCCGAGGTGGAGAGCTTTGGCTGTAGCTGGGGTCGTCACTACTGGAAGTATGCATTCTGTATGAGTTCAGTCTAGTATACCAAAGTCTTAACTAGAACCTCTTTATCTACTGATCCAGTTTTCAGATAGCTTGACTTGGTTATACAATAGATTTGTTTACATGGCAATTTAAAAAAAACAGTTCTAGACAAAAAAAACAACTCAGGATACAGGTAGCCAATGTGCTAAAGAGATGGCAGCAGGTATCTAACTTTTCTACTGTTGTGAATGTAAACATGTGCTCCTCATGGTCTTCAAAATTATTGTTGGTGCCTAGATTGGACTGTCTTGTACATAAATGTGTTCAGCCCAAAATAAATCAATTTTTCACAATTGCATAATTATTATTTTTAATTCTACAGAGTTTTTCAAAGCATGTCCAGACAAATCCAAAGTGCTGGGTCACCAATGCTCCTAAGGGATGAGAGCTGGCAACAAACTCCTTTTGAGACACGTATTGTCCGTAGAAGCACACGTTTTCTGGCTCAGAAAAAGTTTTAAATAACGTATTACAACAAAACTCAGCAAACAATTTCCAGGGAACACAAAGCAAGATTTTGCACTCTACATAACAAGCCTTTCCTGTTCCACCAAGCTTTATGCTTCAAGCGTAAATGGGAAATTAATTATACATATTTTAAAATGGGATATATTTAGGTTACAGTAAGGAGATGAGCAATAACATCATTGTGTTTAGTATGATCAAATTCAAATCATTACTGGCTTTGATCTCCTTCAGTAGTTTTGCAGCAGCCCCCGCTAGGCAATGGGAAGTCCATGCTAATTAGATATTCGGTCTCCACATACCCCTGGGCTTCCTTTCATGTTGTTTCTGACAAGAATCAGATAAAAGCCTACCCAAGAATACAAAATATTTGTAAAATAGCAAAGTAGAGGTATTAATTCAAACAACCTACCACAAAGGCTTTGAAGGTTCATAGTATCATGGTGTCACCATCCTGAACATCTGAATGGTCTAGCCACAGCAGAGACTGCATGTTGATATGTATCTATACTGAATAGATGACTGAGGATGACTTATATCAACTAAAACTTTTACTGTTTGGGTCCTTTTTCTAGAGGTAATGGAGGAACCATGGACTGTAATTTCTTCTGACAACCCATAAATCAACTATACAATGTTTAGGATAGCTGCCAATAAATCGGAACTAATAATAGATTAACAACAAGAAAATGCTCAGATTATCTATAATTGCATCTCTTAACTTGAAAACAGCCCTTGTTAAAATGTCATTGCAAATGTCACCAGGACTCTTTTTCCAACCACTGCCATAAGGACTTTACCATCAGTTGTGATAACTGGACAGCCAATCAACAATTAAGAAAGTAATTAACATCTGCCTTGTACAAACTTTAAAATCCAGATAGCAATCATGAATAAAAGCATTGTTGGAGTCTAATGTTGAGTCTTTCTATTGTTGACAATGGGAGCAGATAAAACCCTAGAGACTTGTGTTCTAGGCTAGACTGACAGGCTTCAGAATTTCACATTACACTATCCACTTCGGCTAAAATCTTCACAACAATGCCAGAATTGACCAGGCACTCTTAAAAATGTGTTTGAGAAATAAATGCTAAGCAATTAAAAAGGAATTATACTTTCTTTGCACATATACTGCATCTTAAAACAGTTGAAGGAATAATTGCAGTTATAAGTGGTGCTCTGCAATCAATTTCAGAGTAATTATCAGAGCCCTAGATATTAATGAAGAAAAATCTGACTTCAGATGACATTAACATTTTCAACAATCCATAAATGATGACCTTAAAAAACAAGCAGGCTGGTCTTTACTGGTCTTCAGAGATTGTGCAGCATATAAATTGTCGGCACTCTAAAATACCTAGAGAGTAATAATACATAATGCATAATGAGCAAGGTGATGCCAAACTTCTAAAAAGTGCATACAGCCAAGAATTATGTTCACTGCATTTTATGCATATGTTCAATTTCAGAGTGCTCTGATAATGTAGCCTATTAATATCCCTTTAAAATTGACAGGATTGAAGGTTCCTAGTAGGGGATCTTCAGAATTTTGCCAGCAACAACATTGCTATTCTGCCAGGAAGTTGTAGAAGATATCCTAGCTCTTAACTAACCTCCTGCTTTGAAAGTTATAAGTATCATGTGCCCAGAGCAGGATAGAAAATACATGGTATTAACTCTAGACCTCCCTGTACAGCAACCATTAAATGGATGAGGCTAAGTAGGTAAAAGGATAAATACATGTAATCTAAGTATTTTAGTAAATCAATCTACTCTCAGGAAACATCTGATGGGGTTTCCTTGGAAACTGCCAGTTTTAATGGCAGAATTTTTCCCTATATATCAAAACATTTTGATAATTTCGTTCTGCAAGTTCACATACAAAGATGAGGTCAAGAATAACTAAGATGTAAAAACTGGTGAGAACAAAACTGAACTTTCAATAGTGCAGTGATCCAAAGCTTGTTGCAAGAATATAGTGCTATTAAACCTTGGTCAAAGTTTGTTCATAACACAAAAGACAATGTTATTCGGTTCACATATACGTCTAATGCAAGGAAAACATTCTTTATACAAATGTAGGAGAACCACATTATCAGTCTTCTTGGAAGTGAGTGAACATCCAGATTGAGCGATGTGTTGACATTGCCTCCTTGAAACAGATGGAGGAGGTTAATGAAGATTCAAAGGGAGTGCATACAGATAGAGATGTTAGTTTGGAAAAGCAATAGAGGAATTCCAAAGTGGTACAAAGAAAAAAAAAAGAAAGTGATGGGTCTGAAAGATTATAACAAGATGGAAAGCATAGGTCAAGATGTCATATGGTCCCAACTTGTGCTTAATTTAGACTCCATGACCAATCACTTCATCTATATATCCAGCTGGGAAAAGTCCTCAGTGTGGTTAGTCTTTGTGCATAACAGAATCTGCGTGATGTGGTTATTTGTAAATCTTTGTCATCTGTAGAAGGATCTTTGACATAAAAATCACTCCTTAAAAGAGTCAAAGATGAATTCCCCCTGCAGAGCCAGCCACATAGTCTTTAGTAGTCTCTTCAGGAACAGGTCAGTACACCAGACCCCTGGTAGGGCATCTGTTCTTCTCAGATGGAAAAAATATCTTCTGCTTTGCTTCTCACTTACCTATACCAGTGTAAAGGGCAAAACATTCAGGATACCTAGAGACAGCTCAAGGGCTTCCCCAGTCTTAGGGACACTTCTATATAAAGCCACTGAGTCTTGTGCTGCATTTGCATGGCTAACTTATTCAGTTGAAATCAGAATCCCCCAAATAGCATTGATAGCTTTGAAACAATGTTAGGTGAATAAAGAAAATCTGCTTAGTTTGGCTTCTTGAGCAAAAAAAAAAATCTTACAGGGGACAACGCAGCAAGAGGACAGAGGATTGCAGCGAAGGTGAGTTGCCAGCTGCAGCAAGAACACTCTGCATCTTACACAGGCTGGATAGTCGTCAGAGGTTCGCTTTCATTGTTCTGCATTATCAGCAAAGAGCCACTTTCCTGAGTTTGCTCTCAGATGCCTCCAACCTATTCTTCAGGGAACAGTGTGTATTCCGAAAACACTTTCCAGTTGCGGCTCATCATTAACCTCATGAAATCCATTAATAAGAATTAGAAACGCAAGAAAACAAAAAGGAATTCCTGATATGAAACCCCAGAACTGCAGGAGTCTGTGCTAAGTCAATCAACTGCTTTTTCTATGGCTTGTCTTTCTTTTTTAAACAGATTCTGTTTTTTCCAGCGACGATGACATCTCCAGATCTGGCTGACAACGGTAAGGGAAGCTTGGGAAAGAGAGAGGAGGAAAATATTTGCAGTCGATGCACAGAGAGGGTCGAAGATGTGTGAGGAGGGAGCAGGGGACCAGGGAATTGGAAAGGCATCAAAGTAGATGTAGGCAGAACATAGGAAAATGTATTCAGTGGTACAAAGCAACGACAGAGTGGGTTAACACAGATAAGTGGGACAGAAGGGAAGAGACGCATGCAGCATGAGAGGCTGTGCCACACATATCTAGAGTATATGTATATATATATTCAAACAATGTTCAAACAATACATGTAAAATAGGAATTATACTAGATCCAAAGTGGAGCAGCACGGCTTGCTGAGGGGTGGGATGTCACCCTGCACTGCAATGCAGCAACTTGTACTTTTGTCTGTAGAAAAACTTGCACTGCCACAGGGTCAGCGCTATGCTCCTTTCACTTTTTGTTGATCTGGGATATTTAAGGAGCTTTTTTTTTTAACATCAAATACAAATGGGAGCTGACAGATGCAATGTGTGGCGCCCGTTCAGCAGCCTATTTAACCCTGTTCTAAAGAGTGCCAATGACTGATATGGAGAAACAGGAGAATCAAAATGATGCAGCAGTTGCCTGTAGCAACATAATTGTATTATTTCTCCAGTGGGGGAAAGATGAATCCTGGCTGAGTGCCCTAGACAACAGCCCTATTTTCCTTTGTGCTAGTTTATTTTTATATAGATACATAGATATAGATGTTTTATATTAGAAATAAAATTGGTAGCATGTGGCAATGCAGCAATCAAATCTGCTTACATAGAAATACCTCTAGTAAAATATAGAACTAGTGTTGAAGCTGACTCATTTTCATTAATTATGATTTGTACTAACTAAAAAAGAAAATGAAGGGCTAAATTACCAGAAGTGACGTTGCTACCCAGAATACAGTTGAAGCAGAGAACGAAGGTGCCACCAAATGAAGAAGAGTCCAAGGTGTTTTATTGGTAGAGATTTAAAAAAAAAAGCATCAAAGACCCAACACATTTAGGGGTCAACACAATCCAACTTAATCAGGGCTATGTTACTACCCAGAATATCAGCAAGCAGATTTAAAGTATGAAAATGATCCGATTTTGCTTTAACATGTCTGCCCCAATGGCATTAAAGTTGAGCTCCATAAGAGCAGCTAAATACGCAAATAAAATACATATGAGAGCTGTCTCTGTACAACCAGTTCTGTGATTTACACAGCTCTGCGCACAGTACAGGTCTGTCTGGCAGGGCA